TTGGGAAATCTACATGTACGATTTTTGGTAGCATCACTATCTTTTGAATATCAAAATCTCTTTTTGACTTTTCAACAGTCATGTCAAACGGACACCACGCTAATTTAAGTGAAAGACCTTTGAGTAAAAGAATTATATTATAGGAAGTCACAAAATATTGCACAATATCAAGGATTGATATGCAAGTGTGATAACTTACAAGTTCAATATCCTTATAAATTTAAGAACTTTTATGAGTATAATTTGAAGTTATATTTCACATAACAAACAATTTGAAATGGGGAGCTGGGATTATATGCAACGCATGCTGCAGGTGTACTTCCTGCTCACGAGGAAAGGAGAGCGACATGGTTCACTTCAGAGTTCAATGTTCGCAACATTGGAGCATATTGAAAAAAAAAATAATAATAATAATAATAATAATCCCTAGGAAGAATGTAAAAGAAGAGATGGAATCATCCAGTAATCTATTAAAATTGCCCTTGTCAATCATCCACACACACTCAAATACAAGTTTTTATCAAATCAAATATTGTACTTGGCAACAATTGCTAAGAGACCTAGTTGTTTTGAATTTTCACACGATTCAACATCGATTTCCCATCAAGCGGATTATTTTGTTGCGAAAATAAATAATCCTTGTACTTCATTGGAATATATGCAGGTTCACATCCTTCATTCTCTACCAACTTTGAAGAAGGGGAAACAATAGTGTTCAATGATGGACCGTTGGCCATGGCAATAGAAATTCTTGTATTCTTGTTATTCACAGTTGCTTTGTGCAACACACTCTTGTATTTTCCATTGCTAAATATCTGTGAAAGCAAAAGAGAAGCCCTAATTCCCATTTTCTGTTTGTGGATTCTACAGTATTAAACAGTGTTTAAAATGTACCTCGAGATGATCTCCCGTGTTGACTAGAATTGAGTTGGGAAGAGCATTGACATTAAACCACTCTCCGTTGCGTTGTATTTGGAGACCTCCCACTTGATTCTCTATGAGTAGAGTGAAAAGTCCATGATCTGAATGTGGTGGCATGCCCAGTGCAAGTTGAGGCTGAGGGCACGGTGGATAATAATTTGCAACTAAGATCTGTAAACTTGAGTCCAAGTTTAATGTCTTTACCATTTCGTATTCTTCAAGTCCAAGGCTTTCTGATATTCCTTTCACCAATTTCCTTACTAGATTTCGAGTTCTTTCACAGTATTCCAATAGAAGCTCTCTATAATTATGTGTAGCAGAAATAATGTCAATTAACAATGTAGACCAGCAGTCATAAAAGAATGTGTATACAGTTTGTTGTCAATTGATCACAAGATGATATAAATAAAACAAACAAGAACACATGGATTTTACGTGGAAACTTAAGACGGGAAAAAACCATGGATCAAGATCCCAATACTCTCAATTAAGATCCAAGGCTCTCAGAATTCTGTATGAATGTCGTTACCTCAATACAGGGTTGTGGGTTATATATATATATAT